ATACTATTTACTTAAAAATAAATATGAAATTTTGTCTTAATAAATTATTATATTTCTGTTTTATTAAAAAAATAATAGAGTTATTAAAATTAAACAGGATAGCATATGCATAAAAAACATTAGTTGTAAATGTGTACCTTGACATCCTCGGGGGAGATAGGGATTTCCGATGAACCCTTGCTTGCACGAACAACGAAATCCACCACCAGTGTCGGAGTAAGAGCAATTAGCATTAGGGCCGCAATAATCTTGGCAGCCGTGCTGATCTCCGATCACCCATTCAAACACCACGGGGTACATTGGAGCAGTTGTCGAATAACCAAGGAAGTTTATTTTCGATATATCAAAGGAATTTGCAACCACTAAAGCATAACTGCAGGGGTTGAAATTCCAAACAAATTTGTGGTTATATCTACTGAAAACCGAAATGTTCAATTGGTTGAGGTCCTTGGGGATGGAGGTCTGGCAGCATCCGAAGCCGGAGCAAGAAGTGTCGTTCCTGACTTCGGTAACGTTATAGCAGAAGGTGTTGCACCCACCTCCGAACCTTCCTTCTTTGTTGTACATTATGGCCATCGTGTCGCAGCCCAGGCCAACAAAATTGTTGTGGATGGGGGATATGATGAAAGACAAATTGTTGGATATGACGGAAGACAAGTTGTTGAACATGACACTCGCATCACTCCAATTCGACAAAAAAGCGCTGCTGTTGTAGCACTGGTAGGCAGAGCCAATGAGTCCGGTGATGGTGCCGTCTTCCAATGATATGTCGTTAATTGAAATGTTGCCATACAAGAGGCTGCTGCTCTGGTTGCATTCAAGCAGGAAGGTTGAGTTTTTGGCGCATTCAGGACGGCCAAATCCAAAAGGGAAAGGAACGCTAACGTCTCCACATCTTTGTGGGCAGTTTTCTAAAGAAATATTTGAACTTGCTGTAACGGTAGAAGATGGCAATATGACCATCATCACCACCATCCACAACAACAATTTCATCTGCATAATTTTTTGCCCTGAATCCTGTGTTTTTGTTTTTTAAATAAAGAAACAGAGTTGTATTATATATAGGCGGCAAGCTGAGTCAAGGTCGAAGACTCGATATTGACTGGCTGGTGGCAGCAAGCTCTTATTGGTTTATTGACTTGCTTTATTTATATATATTTTTTTTACAGTAAGAAATGATCAATAAGTTTTAGTATCTGTCGTGTGCTGTAGGAGGATCGAACTTTAGAAGTGGGTGCAGTTCAGCTGTTGTTCAAGGGTAGCATAGTCATCGTGAAATATATCTTATTAATTTAAATTAGTTGAATATATTTAATTAATTTTAATAATTATTTAAAATTTGCAATTATTAAATATATATTAAAAAATTTTAGTATCTGTCGTGTGCTGTAGGAGGATCGA